TATTTTTCCCTCCGCCACATAGGCCTCCTCTTGTAAAACTTATTTTCTCTGCTTTACGAATGTACACACACATATAAACACACACAAATATATATATATATACACATATGTGTGTGTATATATATATCTATATAAATGTATACACACATTTTTTTTCAAATTTCATTTTTACACAACGTTCATATAATACCCTCCTGCTCTTATGTTAAGCTGCTAATGTTTTAACTTCATGTCAAGTGTGTATTTTAAGATGTATAAATACAGCTTTTCTGTTACACAGTATATCCTTATCTATTTAGCAGTTAAGTCTATTTTGAATTTCTCTTTGGTTTACAGAGATCCAGAATATACCGCCTTGGACAACACGGTTATCCTCAAATCTCATTACTCAATATGCTATTGCAGTCCTTAGATCCAACCTTTGGACTGGAGCATATGCCTTTTCCAATGGCAAGTAAGTATGTGACAACTTACAAGGCTATTATTTTGATTATTTAACTTCTGGAAATTATAAGTTATCACTGGAATGTCGTGTGTATGGCATAAGATTAATTCAAACAACATCCATCTTATACAACAAAGCATCAAATTTAGAACATTAGAGTAATTCAGACTTCTGCCTTTTCATCTGAATTATCCAATTAATGCTAAAATATGTTTTTATCCATATCCATAAATATGTTTTTATCCAATATCCATAAAACATATTTATAAAATATGTTTTAATCCAATTAAAGCTAAAATATGTTTTTTCTTCTATGATTATTTGAGTAATTGATATTCATTTCATGGAGGTAATTCTAAGCAGTATTTAGTTTAAATCTCATCATTTTTGTTGGATATCTTGATAAAAAATAATTTAAAGTATGTATGATTTAGGCTATCACTTTCAAAAGAGTTAGGATAAGAGGACAGTAAACGTCCTTTAATTCCTCACCCAGAGCTTACACTTTCATTTGTCTTATGCTTCCATTTCTTACTTAATAACCTAGTGTCAGAAGCTCGGCTGAGCTGGAGAGCTGAGTGGTCAAATGTCAGAGTAGCCATTAAAGCAACAAGCCAGAAATGAAAATGTTAAGCCTTTAATCACTTACTGTGATGGTATAACCAAGTTGAAGGACTGATTCCCCCCACCCCAACCCCGTTCCATTTGCCCCCATGGAATGGCACACTGGTGGAAGGTCAGATGGGTCAGCAGAGTTGTGGGGTCATCTCAATGACAAGCAAGTCCCCACATAAGGCTCCTGCAGTTTTAAGGACCTGTAACCAGAGAAAGGTGGGGAGGACTAGGCAAAAGTACTGGGTACTGAGTCAAGAGTAGGGGAAGTGTCTATAAGGTCTCCCCTTCTCTCACCCAACCCTCATTAGGAAGCCTTGGCAAAGGGGCCTGAAGAAGACCTCTGCTGAAGGCCTCAGATGAAGAGGCCTGGGAATGAAGGCACCTGGGCCAGGAACACAATTGTGTTAAGAGCATGACAGGCCAGAGGGGCCAGAATCCTTGACCACAACGCTCTCTTAGAGATTGCAGTGCACTGGCTATGCACCAAGTCTGAGGTGGAGAGGGCAGTTCCCCCGCCGTGAGGCCTAACTATGTAAAGCTTTTGTAATTGCTCAAGGATAGACCTGAAAACACACATAGGTTGTTAACCACAAGTCCGACTTCTCACCCAGCCAAGAGTTTTCAAGGTTGGCAACTTCTTGATTCTTTCTAACTCTAAGGAAGGTATGTAATTTTTAACTTCATTGCTTTGTTTTGTTTTTCTGAAAATAATTAAAAGATGAAAGGCTGTGGTCCAGGTGTAGGGTACATTTTGACAGGGTCTGGCCCTATGTTTTCTTAACCAGCTTAAGCAGTTTGGATCATAGTAATTCCCTGTGGTAAAAGAATCATTTAGGGATATTTCATCTCTAATGCATTTAAAATATACTGTACTGTTTTAACATTATGGGACTATGATACTCTAAGTACCTTATCCTTACAGAAAAGAAGGTTCAATTTTTCTTACTGAAAAATTATACAATGATCTACATTTTTTTTTAACTTACAGAAAGTTTGAAAATTTCTACATAGGCTGGGGTCATAAATACAGTCCAGACAGCTATACACCTCCAGTTCCACCACCAGTTTATCAAGAGTACCCCAGTGGACCAGAAATTACAGAAATGGATGACCCTAGTGTGGAAGAGGAGCAGGCTTTCAGGGCTGCACAAGAAGCAGCTGTAAATTCAACAGAGGAAAATGAAGAAACTGAGGAAGATGAAGATGAGGAAGATGACTATGACTAATAAAAATAAAATTAGCCCAGTTTTATGAGACTGATACACACAAACTCCTTATTTGGGACTGATATATATATATATATATATATATATA